TGTATTAAACTTGACTATCTCTTCATATTTCATTTGTTCTCTTTTCAAATTAGCCTATTTCCAATTTTATTCCAGTTATCTAAAAAAGGATTATTATTATGATAAAGACTAAATTAAAAACATAACTTACTCTTTTCTCTAACATTGGATTACATTTAGCATTTTTTACTTAATTAATATGTTTATTGTATTCCAATCTTCTTGCTAATAATAACTAGAAGTTGTTTTCAACATATTTAGGTCCTTTCATCTTCTCAATATTTTATATATAAAATATATAATTATTTCAAATCAACTTATAAAAAACTAATTAATTTTTTTCATTTTAAACAATATCTTTAATTCATATCATTTTTGTAATTAATTATTATGAATAGATTTCTTTATGTTTTAATAATACATATAATATAGATGATATTGCCCATAGTTTTATAAGTTTTAGTATTACTAAACTAAATTTTTTCAAATATCAGAACTCTCCTATCATTTAATCTATAAAATGATTAATAGTTTATTAATAAATTAAACATACATACATACCAAATTGAATTGGAATAAATTATCTTATAGAAATTATTATAAAATTAATTAATACCATATAAATTTAATAATTATATAAATATACAACATAATCTTAAACTAAAACTATATAGTGTTTATCAAATTCTATCCAAGAAGTTGATTACTTCTTTTTTTCAATTAAACTATTCTTACTCTTGATAATATATAACTTTTTTTATGCTCACTTAATTGAAATCACATAAAAAGACTTTAGAAAATTATATTCACAAAATTTTAGATTTTATATAAAATATATAGATGAATGTAAACACTTTTGTTTTGTAGATTTAAATTTCTATTCATATATGTACATTCTCAATCAAAATAGTTAATAAACATATTTTTCTTATATGTAAAATCATATTTATATTAAATTATTTATTTTTTATCCCCTAATATTTGGAATTCTATATAATGATTATAGTTTACAGTTTTGAAGTTTACTAGCATATTTTTAGATTCTCTAACATTCTAGTATAGTAAATAAATGTAAAATGTTTTATAATAATCATAATTATTTTATTATTTAATAAATAATGTTAGGAATTCTTTCCTTTATTATGATCCAAATAATTAAGACTTCAAATTGTGACTCTTAAAGTGTAGATGAAATAGTGCTATTGTCCTTATCAAGGTAAGAAGTAGTGTAAATTCCTTATGATGAACTTATTTAATCTTCTTCCTCATTTATCCTTTGTAATAAAAATGAAAAAATTGATATCAATTTAATCGATCCCATCTAACAAATTTTGCAATTTAATCATAATATAGCAAATGAACCAGTTAAGTTATTGAAACAATATAAAACTTCAAAAAACAGAATACCTAGGTAGTCTTTTATTTTCATTATTTAAAATTCAAATATTTAGTTAGTACGGACTTATTGGAATAAAGACCCTGAAATAACAATTTTTTATCCTTTTTTCCCATAAATTTTTGTGAATTTGGAGGTTTTAGATCAAAAAATTCTAGTTAATTTCTAAAATGAATTTGTAATATTGGGAATAATTCCTAATAAAGTTGAAAAAGAAATTTACAGATTTGGATGCTTATTTGCTCAATAAACAGTTTAAATTGATGAAATAATTTTTAGTGCATAACATAATTAGTTAAAATCTCATAAAATTGGGAAAGAGATTAATTTATGTTCTAATTCTACAATATCTTTTTAATGTAAAAATAAATCAATAGAAATCAAGAATGAAATCACATCTTTATAAATATATCCACCTTAAAATTTAACATTTATTAGTGAAAATATATTAGTCATATTAGATATATAGAAGACAATGGCAGAATGTTACAATTATCCAAAAATTTTGGCTTATGATTATGATTTGATAAAGAAGATATTTGTTATAGTATCTCCTGATAAAATAGAATATGATGGTGAGACATATAAATTTGCAGTTGAATCAAAATAAATACAAGTATTTTTAACAAAAAGCTTTATAATTTTTCGTTATGGATAAGTGATTCATCTCTTTTCAAAAAAGTTACGTTTAATCAATACGAAAAAATTTGATGAAGATTTTTAAATTTTGGCTCATCAATTAGAAGATTAATTTACTTTAGTAGATAAAATTCATTATAAGAAATATATTTTACATGAAAATCCTTTCATTGAAATTAATAGAAAATAAAATCAATAGATTTCTTTTCTATAAGATATATATGATAAATAGAATAATAAATATATATAAATAGTTATTACATAAGATTATTTTCATAATTTAGATAATTTGAATATTACCAAAACTATAGAAGTTGCAATAATATATCATGATTAATAAAAGATTTATCCTAAATTAATAAATTTAAAATAATGTAATTATGATGAATTCATAATGGGACACCAATTATTTAAATAATATAATTAATTGTTAAAGATTTATTCTTATAAAGTTAAAGTATTTGGTTTAGATAGATATAAAATTATATTTGCTTTTTCAAGTTCTTATATATGTTTTGGAATTATTTATTTGAATAACTTATAATAATTTAAATAATATACAATTTAAGATGAAGTTATTAATAATTTAAATACTGCATTCTAAATATAAGATAATAAGATTAATTACATCCATTGTACAAATATATTCTGTTATATATATTATGATATTATGAAGAATTATGAATAAAAGAAAGCTAAAAAGTTTAATTAAAATAAAATTGAAAAAGTTGTATCTGATAATAACCATTTCTATAAATTAACATCTTAAGAAGTCTCTATTTTTCATATTGTTGAAGGATAGGAAATTTAATCTTAAAAATTATAAATAGAAGAAGAAGTTGTAAATATATTTGCATCTCCAAAAAAAAAAGATTATTTATTTGTTTAAACTAAAACTAGTAGATTATATTTTTATAGTATATCCTATCCATTTTAAGATTTGATTTAAGTTTTCTAATTAAATTACAATGAATTTTTAGATTTTATTATTTTTGAGAATTATTTTCTAATCTTCATAAAGGAGGAACAATAAATAATTTGTAATGTTTATAATTACAAAAATGAAGTAAGCATCTTTTTATAAAGACAATTGCCGATAAAATTTTTTAACAAGATTAATTTTGATGAAATATAAGTAGATTATGACTAAAATACATTATATATTAAAGGGTAATTAAGCTAATCAGATGAATATGCTATAATAGCATATAGAATTGATACTAGAATAGAATTATCTATTTAATTTATTTCAAAATTTAAATCTAATATAGGTTATTTATTACCAATTTCTGATAGAATGACTTTAAAATTTGAAAATAAATTAAACTTTACTTCAATCTTTTATAATGGAGATAAAGAAACTAGTTGTTTAATAGATTAATATTTAAAAGAGGATGACATGGATGAAGATGATTCTTTCTCTGAAACAGAAAGTGAGATAGAAAGTGATGATACTTTATCTTTAGATGAAAATTATCAATTTTCTACAAGTTCCTTTCTTAGTATATCCTCTGCTGAAGGATTGTTAATTTTAGGAATATAATCTATCTATGGTAGAAGAAGACCTGAAAATATTGATGGTTTTTAAACGCTATGATTATGCTCATTATATAAGAATTTTATATATAAATATAAATAATAAGATTAATTAGTTATTGCTATTAATATATTATACAAGATAGTACTATATCATTTGTTATAATAGATTATACGAGTGTTTGTAATTTATTGAATTAAAATAAGTATTGACTTAAGTTAAATAGAAATTGATAAATTGTATTTAAAATATATTCATTTTATATATTGACATTTCTTGCATGAATTATATTAGAAAGTAATAAGTACATTACTAAAAAGTATATATATTGATTAATTTGAATAAATATAATATATTTTAATAAAATAATTATGTAAGTAGAGTAAGTCGATTATCAATAATTTGTTGAGAGAAATAACATATTGCCAGATGAATCGATTTATCATTTCAATTAAGATGAATAGAATGATTTCATCGATAAGAAACCATGGGATTATTCACCTAACTATTTTAAGAAATGCAAAATTTCAATTGCTGCTGTAATAAAAATGCTTATTCATGCATGTCTTGGAAGTATTTGATTATTAATCTAAAAATAGAGAATAATGAAGTAATGGGTCTAATGCAAGGTAGATGTGATAAGGAAACATTTATCATTTATGATGTAATCTATTTAAATGCAGAAGCAAGTGAAGTGAATGTTACTTTAAGTAAATATCCTTTTATTAAATTTTAATAGCTCCTGAAGCAATGGGAGAATATGTATAAATGATTGAAATGTTAGAAACAGTTGGAAGAGTACATCCTACAGTAGGTTGGTATCATTCTCATCCAAGTTATGGATGTTGGCTTAGTGGAACAGATGTATAGAATCAAAGATTGTAATAAATGGGATATGGAGCATTTGTAGCTGTTGTGATTGATCCAATAAGAACTATGACAAATTAAAAGGTTGATATAGGTGCATTTAGAGTGTATCCTGATGGATATAGACCATTAAAATGTAATAAATAATCACATAATAGAAAATTAGGATGACAATATTGGAATTCCAACTTAAAAGATCAAAGATTTTGGAGCTTATCATGATAAATATTATTCTTTAGATATTGAAATATTTAGCAATTCTATTGATAGTAAGATAGTCTAAGGATTATGGGAAAGATATTGGGGTGTCAGATTATCATAGTCTATTCTAGAAGATAATCAAGTAGATTTAAATATTTATAGATATAGTTATACTTTAGATAATGCTTATGTGATTTGAAGGATAAATGTTTCATAAAATATGAATAATCTTATCAAGGGAGTGGACAATAGAACAATGAGAAATAATAAATAAAAGAGGCTTAAAAATTCTCAGTGGAATTAGCAGGTGCATTGCTTTCTGAGACTGTGAAGTAAATATTATTCTAATGATCAATATTCAATATATCATTTATATTATCCATCACAAATTGGGGTTTTGTTGAGTAGCCAATTCAACAACATCTGCATATACTTATAATGGTCCCTTCTTCACACTACCAAAAAGAGCCTAATATCTCTCAACTATTTGTGGATCTAAGCTACCTCTTTCGATCTAACTCTTTGCCTTTCTGTATTGAATTGCCCAGTTGAGAAATTCAACTGCCTTTGATTTATTTTAATATGATGTTGCATAATCATAGAAGACCTAATAGTTTATGTGATTTCTTACTCTAGCACAATATGGTAGAACCAAGAATCCAACTCTCCATGAATATCCAAAATTAAACAATTGAGCATACACTTATAACCCAGCTGTAATGGATATGTCTTATAGATTCCACCAAAGCCATTAAGTACTGAATGTCTTATTCAATACAGTACTAATATTTGGATTAACTGTCTTATATAAATTCACCTCTGATTATTCAATCTAAAATGTAATCAATAAAATATCATACCTTTCCTAATTGCTATTTCAATTAATATAGCTCTAATTTTTAACTGTAATGTTGAGTTAAAGCAGGGTAGAATGTCTTTCCAAATATCCAGAACCCCCTCATACTTCTCTACAATGCATAGGTATTTTTATCAATCTCTGATTAATACATCTCGTAATTCTCTCTGAAACTGTTGTCCCATTATTATAATGTTGGACTATTTAATGCCACTGGTGATTTGGATAGCAACTTTACCATATCTAATAATTTAATTATATTTATTCATATTTAATAATATCCTATCAGATTCTAAGTATTAAAATTAGCTTTAAAAATTCACAACCAACTATACTCCAAATTAGTTAACAGATTGTCTTAAAAAGTAAGAACAAAAATTTAAATTATTTTATCAATCTCATCTATATTTCTCTGCTTAATCATTTACCAAATCAAAGAGATTTTTTTTAATTAAAAAAAGGAAATAATATTAAGATAATTATCTATAATAATAACATAAATTGAGAGTCTTAAAAATATAGAAAATAAATAAACTAATTTTAGAAAATTATGATTATCAACTTTAAATTAGACTTTAAAAAGAGAAATTGATTTCAATATCTACTTTAATAGAATTTAATTATATTCATCCTATTTCTTGAATTCTAATATTGTAATTTAAAGTGAATTCTGTATTATATTTAAATATTATATATTATAATCATTGATCAATTATAATAATAAATATTATTTAATTATTATAATGATAGTAGATATTAATCATAATTGATTATAGAGACACAATTACATAATTATTATATAAATAATTAATATTTGTCTCATAATTTATAAAGATTACATATACCCAATTATATGTATTGATTAAATACAAATTATAATGTGACATAATTAAAATACATACATAAATTAATCATTTCCTTTACAATACTATTGCTATTGAAATTCCAGCTACCAAGACAATTATAGCAAATATGTAAAGTCCTAAATAGGATTGTTATTCTTCTTTAACACTTTTTTTCTTACTCTTTGTAAACACTTTTGTTTCTGGCAATTTAGTTTCAGTACCCCAAATTCTATGGGAAGGAGTACCATCCCAACATAAAGGAGTTGTTGATAGATTTAAATATTTATTTTCAATCCATTCATCTATATTTGTATTGGTATTCACTTTATATCCTAATGAAGTACAGAATTAATCTCCATTATTTACAATATTTCTGAGTTCAGAACATACAACATCATTCTAGAATATTAAATTTATCTTACTTAATAACAAAGTCTTAATTTCTAAGATTTTTCATCATATTAAAATAAATCATTCCAACAAGCTTAATACATTTGATTGCAATAATGAGGACAAAATCCAACTCTAATTTATTACCCAATATCACCATCACAATCTGAACAAATGGTCTTGATAAATATTTCTTAGCATTATTAACTGAGTTCAACTGCTTATTACTATTCTCTGTACCATCTATAACATATTATAATTAAGAATACTTAAATTTCAATTCTTCTAGATTTTATTAGCTACAACATGTTCTTTTTGCATATGAATCACAAAAATATATTCCTGATAAATGATGAAGTTTCTATTATCCATAAACAATTCTATTTTTTAAACTGCATTCTTGTTCAGTCAATTAATTTATAACTTCCTTTACATAATACAATTGTGCATATCCCAAACTTAACAAAATTATTTATATTAACATATTTTAATTTATAATCAATATATTTAGAAATATCACAATTCCCATAAACATTTCTATATTTTTTAAATATTATTAAAATATTGAATTATATATAATTGATATATAATTCAATTCTAAGTAAATAAATTAGTTCTGATTTTAAATTTCATTATTTATTAAAAATTCTATTGTAAAATTTATAATTAATTAATTTAAATGGACCTACTTCGATTAAGTTCTAATCATGTTGAATTTATGTACAATAAGTATGAAAATATGCAATCAACTATCACTCTATACAATGATACTCTTACTCCTATTGCATACAAAGTATAATCTATTTAATAATTTTAGTTCAAAGCATCAAATAGAAATATCTTTTTAGTCAGACCATCACTTGGAATTGTTTAACCTAAATAAAACTAAATAATTAATATAAGTCTTCATTGTAAAGTACTTCAAAATATATCTATTAATGAATTTAATGAAAAATTGCAATTGATTTCTATTCCTATTTTCTCAGGAATCTAAGACCCAACACCAATTTTTTAAGATACATACAGATCCTTTGATAATTAGAAGATTAGCATCATAATCTAAACTATTGATAGAAAGATTACTTCATAAATTGGTTTAAGTGATAATCACATATTTCAATCACTTCATAAATAAAATAGTGAATTAGAGTTATAAAATAATAATACAGAATAACAATAATATTAAACTAGATTTCAAACAAATTAATGCTAAACAAATTCATAATTACTTTAATAAGAAATTGCTTAAAAAGAATAACAATTGGTAATTTTTAATTATAATTTAAGTTAAACTTTTAAAAGACTCATAATATTTCAAATGATAAATAATCAAACTAACAAATTAAAAATTCTAAGGATACAATACTTGTAATTATGGTTAGTATTCTGTCTTTTTACATATTTTTACGATATTTTGATTTAATAAATAGAATTATTCCAAAATGAATAATAATAATTATTATTATTCTTATTATTTCAAGTATTTAATTATATTGTTATTTAATATAACACTTTAAAAAAAGAAATTTATAATCAATATTTCAAACAATTTCATAAAATTTAGAAATCTTTTTGTTTGTTCTTTATTTTTATGATGATGAAAGTTCTATAATTTATATCATTTAATATAATAATTATTTTTCTCAATTATTCTTTTTATTTAATTTACATTCAAATGAATATAGAAGTTTTATGTCCAGAACACAATGAATATATCATATAACTAGATGTAGAAGAAAATATTGATTTGGGAAGGAGAACTTTATGTGTAGAATGTTAAGGTAAAAAGCCTATTAGTTTAAAATAAAGTTTTGACAGATTAAATGCATTTTATTAAGAATAATAAAATAATAAAGATGCTTTACCATATGTTCTTATAAAACAATTAGAAAATTTAAGGAAAACTTTGGTCTAAGAAATTAATTCAGTTATAGCATCAATTTAAATAGAAATTAATTAAAGAGTTAATCCTTTATAAGATAATTATAGTATAGTTGGTTTATCATAACTTCAAATTTTAGGAGAAAGATTAAGTTCATTAACAAGCTTTTAGGAGAAGTTTTTGTAAAAGTCTATAGTTAACTTAAAATAATAATTATATTAAATTTTAGATAAGTTTTTTAATGAGTAACCTTAAAAGGGATTATTAGAGAAATAGATATAATAAATTAAAGGGAATAACACTTAAGAAGAAGGAAAGATTATTAATTCATATTTTAAAAAGATAAATGAAGTCAATATGGAAGATACATGTTAAGCAATAGCATTTAATCAAAATGGAAATGTTATGATAACAACTTCTAAGAATGATATAATTGTTTGGGAATTTTAGAAGGGAATATTAAATTAATAAAGGATTCTAAAGGAACATAGTAGTGAAGTAGTTTGTTTGTGTGTTAGTAGGAAATAAAACTTTTTTTTTTCTGGAAGCACAGATTCACAAATTGTTGTATGGTATTTATGGAAGGCTGTAGCTAAATTAAATGAACATAAAGGTAGAATTAATTGTTTAGTATTATGGAAAAATGAAGAAACTATGATTTCAAGTAGTGATGATGGAACAATAAGAGTTTGGAATTATATTAGATCAGAATGGAGAAGTGGTTAAGTGATGAGAAATCACAAAGGTGCAGTATATTAGATATCATTAAATGATATGAACAATATGTTAATATCAACAAGTCAAGATACAACAATAATCATTTGGGAAATTAAAGAGAATCAATAATGGTATTAAAAATATTTACTTTCTTAAAATGTATATGGAAAGAAAGTTTGTTTTATATATAATTGTAAATTTGTTTGGATACCACATAATACAAATTCTATTTAAATATATGAAATTGGTTAAAAATAAATAAATAAATTAACAGAAATGAATTTAGAAGACAATGGATCTGATAATTAATTTAATCCTTTGATTTACAATAGAACAAAAAATATCTTAATTTAAAAATAATTAAATAAAATTACAATCATAAATAAACCAACTAGTTCATTAAATGTGTTATAATCAATAGATTTTAAGGATGATCAATTTTCTATTGAAATGACAGATGAGGGTAATTATCTGATTTATGGAGGTAATAACAAATTTATAATTTATTAATTAAATGAATAATGATTGTTTGATTATTGAATTAATTAAAATATATATATATATATGATATTACATATATATTATATTTCATTTAAGAAAACAATTAATAAAAGCATAATTTAAGAAAAAATATTTTAAATTAATTGTAGAATTATTTATATATATTTAATCATTAATTAAATCTGCTTTAGTGTATTTAAAGATGTTTATAATGTCTATCAATATCTTAAATATCACTCTTTTTAACTTATTTTAGTTTTATTTGAATATATGTTTATTATTTTTGATGTGATTTGTGATATCAATTAAATTAATTAGAATGTGATCTATGATTTAATGGGAGATTGGAATATAATTGAGTTAATAAAATTATATAAATAAAATACAAATATGAGTAAAATATTAATATATATATATATATTATTTTCTATATCTATTTTTGAGATTATTCTGAAATATATTTAATATAGTATATAATTAGTTTTTATATATTAAAATTTTAAAATATGTTTATTCCATTATTGATTACGATATGCTTTGCAAAAGATCTTACAATATATCCTACAGTGAATGAGTTATGCATTTATGATTTAAAAGATATATTTGGAAGTATTAATAACCCAAGTTATGAATTGACCCCAATGGATTCTCCATTCATAATTGTGGACAGCATATAACTGATAGGTATTTGAATATTATTATATATTTGTTTAGGTGCAACAAATCATACAATGAATGATTAACCAAAAAGTATAGTGAGTAATAGCAGATTTACATAATTTGCAGTCATAGATAAATAGAATACTGTATATTGGACAAAATAGTATAAATATAATTAATATGTAGGACATTACCAGTGGATACACCTTAATTCTTAGGTAAATATAAATTAAATGAAACATGTTATTCTCTTGAGTA